GAGCCCTCCTCCACCACTTCGACGGAAGGTGCCCAAGTGCTGCTGAGGGGCCCTCTTCGGCCCGGTGACCAAATGCCACCTCGAAGCAAGAATCCTCCCACTTCTGTGGAAGAAGTAGAAGACGAAGAAGCCCACCTACGGTCCGACATCCCGGTTGTGACCCCAAGGAAGACGCCCGCTCCCGCCGTTTCCCTTCCTGCTGCCCCAGGCAACAAAAAGGTGATCGCTGACATGTACTATGAACCCCACAGTATCCTATGGACCCGACGGGCATTACGGATCGCTCGAGGGGATGCCGCCGCCCGTGCAGTACTCAACGGTTGGGTGCACTCCTGACGACATGGGGAGGTCACTGACCAGTTATGCCACCAGTTGGAAGAGCAGACGGAGACCGCTGCTCAGGCTCGGGACAGGTGGCAGTGGATGGAGGATCTCCAGAAACCCCCAATGTATATACGAGGAAGGAAGGGGAGAAATGTGTCAATAAAAGTACAATTAGAGACACTCGACACGTGGGAAATCCACGCAGTATCCGCCTTAGTAGACAGTGGGGCCACTGGCAGCTCCATCGATCGCGCTTGGGCCCAGGCCCATAATCTCAATCTAAAGAAGGCGGCTCATCCGGTACCGGTTTATAATGCCGACGGCACTCGAAATAAGGGAGGAGACATCACAGAATACGCCGAAGTATGGTTACGTATCGGGGATCACGTGGAACGGATTGAATTAGCTGTAGTCGATCTAGGCTCCACCCCCCTATTCCTAGGGCATGACTGGCTTCAACGTCATAACCCCCTGATCGACTGGGACACTGGGGCAGTTACCCTAGCCCGATGCACATGTCGCAAGATCCCGTTCTCGCTACCCGACACCGACCCGATGGCACGATGGGAAGAGTACGAAGAAGGAGATACAATATTAGTTATCAATTTCGAAGAGGCCTTCCACGTACGAGCCATGGGAACCAAGGCCAATGAGTTGGCAGCCCAGGCTCATGCGAGAAAAGACGCCAAGTCTTTCAAAGAAATTGTCCCTGAAGAGTATCGCGAATTTAAGGACATTTTCGACAAAGAAAACTTTGATGAGTTGCCTCCTTGAAAACCCTGGGACCACGCCATTGAGCTCATCCCCAATGCCAACGCCAACCTCAACTGCAAAGTCTATCCGCTCAACCCCACCGAACAGGAAGAACTGGACAAGTTTCTCGATGAGAACCTGTCCACCGGGCGAATTCAGGTATCAAAGTCACCCATGGCCTCCCCCTTCTTCTTCGTAAAGAAGAAAGATGGGAAGCTTCATCCAGTACAAGACTACCGCAAGCTAAACGAGATGACCATCAAAAACCGTTATCCGCTGCCGCTTATAGGGGAACTAATGGACCGACTGAAAAGGGCCAAGTATTTCACTAAATTGGACGTTCAGTGGGGCTACAACAATGTGAAGATTAAACAAGGAGACGAATGGAAGGCCGCCTTTCGAACCAACCGCGGACTCTACGAGCCCTTAGTAATGTTCTTCGGGCTCACCAATTCACCCGCTACGTTTCAATGAATGATGAATGATATCTTCAAAGATCTCATAGCGGCAGGAGAGGTGTCGGTCTACCTAGACGACATACTCATCGCCTCGAAAACCAAGGCCGAACACCGGCGGATAGTACGCAAGGTCTTGCAAATTCTACGCGAGAACAAGCTGTTCCTCAAGGCGGAGAAGTGTGAATTCGAGGTGGAAGAAACCGAGTACTTGGGGGTCATCATCAGTGAAGGGAAAATTCGTATGGACCCGGTTAAAATCGCGGGCCTTCTGGACTGGCCAGTTCCCCAAAGGAAGCAGGAACTGCAATCCTTCCTTGGATTCTGCAACTTTTACCGACGGTTCATTAGGGACTACAGTAAACACGTCAGGCCGCTAACCCTCCTTACCGGCAAACAGGAGTGGAGGTGGGGGGAGGCCCAGCAAAGGGCGTTCGAGAAGCTGAAGGAGCTGTTCAGAGAGGATGTGGTATTGGCCATCCCGTTAGATGAAGGACAGTATCGTGTAGAAGCGGATTCCAGCGAAGGGGCAGTGGGGGCGGTACTCTCCCAGTGGCAGGACGAGAAATGGCGTCCCGTAGCCTTCTTGTCAAAAGCGCTATCTGTGACAGAACGCAACTACGAGATCTACGACAAAGAACTTTTGGCCATCATGATCGCCTTGGAAGAGTGGCGCCAGTACCTAATGGGGGCGAGGGAGGACTTCGAGATCTGGACCGACCACTCGAACCTCCAATACTTCCGCAAGCCTCAGAAACTCAACCGACGACAAGCTCGGTGGGTAACTGAGCTAGCGGAATATCAATTCACCCTGCACCACAAACCCGGGGCCCAAAACCGGAAGGCCGACCTACTTTCCCGCAGGGCGGACCACGACCAGGGGAAGGATGACAACCGGGACGTCGTCGTTCTTAAAGCGGAACATTTTAGAGCTTTAATCATGCCCACGACCGAGGGGTTGCACGAGCGGGTCAAAGAAGCGACGCATGACCCTCGTCGATGGGACAGAGGGATCTCCGACTCCCTAAACCACGAAAAGGGCGTTACTCGCGACCAGGACCTGTTGTGGTATGACGGACGGATCTACGTACCGGTGGACCGTAACCTTCGAGGACAGATCATCGCTCTCAAACATGACCACGTTACCGCCGGCCACCCTGGTATCGAAAAGACTAAGGAATTGATCCTTCGGGATTACTGGTGGCCGCGAATGCGTCGAGATGTAGAAGCCTATGTAAAAGGGTGTGAAGTCTGCCAAAGGACCAAGGCCGACCGACGTCCGAAGAGGGCTCCATTACACCCCAATGAGATCCCAGTTCGACCATGGACTCATATCTCGGTCGATATGATCACCAAACTCCCAAATTCCAAAGGGTTCGACTCTATCCTGGTAATTGTGGATCGATTCTCGAAAGCCATCATCCCTATTGCATGCATGGAAGAACTCACCTCCCTGGGCTTCGCGAAAATCTTGAGGGATTACGTCTACGTCCCTTACGGGGTCATGCCAGAGAAAGTGATCTCGGATCGAGGCACGGTATTCATCTCTAAGTTCATGAAGGAGTTTTACCAACTTCTCCATGTTGAGGGGAACCCATCAACTGCCTATCATCCTCAGACGGACGGACAGACCGAAAGGGTTAACCAGGAGATTGAAAAATACCTCAAGATGTTTGTCAACGACAGGCAGGATGACTGGAGCGAATGGCTTCCCCTGGTGGCGTTCACGCATAATAATCGCCAACACTCCACGACGGGGTACTCCCCATACAGAGTTATCTTCGGAAGGGACGGAGAAGTCATCACCAGACCACAGAAAACCTCCGTGGTACCAGCAGCAGGGAAACTGGTTGATGAAATTGGGAAAGCACAGGAAGAAGCAAAGAAGTCCCTAGAGAAGGCGGCAGCCTCCATGAAAAGGGCCTACGACAAGCACAAGGTCCCCGCGGTAGACTACGTAGTGGGAGACAAGGTCTGGCTCGACTCGACCAATCTACATCTCCCTCGACCAACAAAAAAGCTGGGAGATCGACGAGTAGGCCCCTTTACTATTACAGCAAAGAAAGGAATATCGGCCTATGAATTAAAACTACCCGCACGGTGGAGAATTCATAATCGCTTCAACGAGTCCCTATTAACATGATACGTACCTCCCACCTTTCCGAACCAACCCCAGCCGGAGAGGCCACCTCCCGAATTGATTGACAATGAAGAAGAATATGAGATCGAGGAAATAGTGGAACAGAGGGATAAGATCGTTGGACGAGGGCGGACTCGTCGAACTATAACGGAGTACCTTGTCAAGTGGAAAGGATACCCATGGGAGGAGAACTCCTGGGTAAAACGATCGGCGATGGCTAATGCGGAAGAGCTGGTAAATGAATACGAAGCACGTATTCAGAAAATACATTGGGAAGTCAATCACAGGGGGAAGACGGTCGGTGTTGACGACAAAATACCAAGTAACCTTCCCGTCCAATACCATGACCCCTTCACACCCTGCATGACAGAGGTGGAGACTGTCTATTCCTCCCAATGCTCAGCTCCAGGACATTCCGACAAAGAGATCAACGCGGTTGGAGAAGTAGCAGGATCAGACGCTGGACGACACAACGGGCCTGTATCGACAACGTCCTCATTCCAAAGGCTCGTAGTGGAAATTTCCGAGTCAATGGATCGCGCCCTACAGGAACGAAATGCAAAGTGGCTTAGGGACAATAATGTCCCAGACGACAAATGTTGGAAGTACACTCCACCGTCCAAAGGAGACCCGCGATTTGATAATCCAAAAGTTCGCGACTCCTACTTACGGCGACGCGCCCAAGAAATTAAGGACTCGCGCCGTGAAAAGCGACCTTACAAAAATCCACCGATCCTGCTCGATCCTCCCTCTGACAATGAGTCCGACGTCAACCACCTTCAAAAGGTAACGGAAGACTGGGACTACGACAGCGACAGAGAGGAAGACCAAAATCCGCCATCCTTTTACAGTGCATCAGCCTCCGAGAGTGAACATGACGATAGTGACTCATTCGGGACGAACGAGTCTTAAGGGGGGGGTAATGTTACGGTTTATTCTTTTCTTTTTCCTTTCTTACGCATTTTCACTTACTCTATGCTGCGATCCTGATCAGACTTTCTCACAGTACTATTTTTAGTTTACTCAACGTGTATTTAAGCAGAGCCTCAGCTGGTCTAAAACCCAGCTTCGGCTAAGGTTTAATCTACCTAACTCAAAGCTCCCTGTTTCGCGACTATCTAAGTTCACGACTGACTCTCTTTCAATCTACTTTGACCTCTCTTGTATCATCCACCGAAGTGCGAGTGGCGATCCCGAGTTGATCTAAGTCGATAAGAGTTAGTGGCTAACAAGTTGGAGCAAGGCTACTCTCAGATGCGCTTCAGCGAACAGGGAAGAGCAAACTTTCCTTGATGATAACGTTATCCAATGATTTCCCAAGTATCATCATGAAGTGCTTGGCCCAGTATTCGTCCCAATGGGAAGACATTCACCTGCCTACTCCTTCCTGTATTCCATGGACACAACTAGTGCTACTGGATCCCCCTTCACTCCATCTTCCATCGTTAAGATCACTCATTGTGGATTGTCAACCTGACGAGCACACTCTCGCCTGCATCTTGGACATGTTCAAACACATGCCCAAGCTGAAGTCTTTTGAATTCCACTTGAACGGCACTCCCTCAGACTTTGACCCGAAAATAATCCCAGTGCTGTGGCAGCAACTCACGCATTTGGCCATGTCATTGGGAGAATCACAGGATGCAGGCTGTTGGTTAGAGTCAAGCGTCAGGGTTCTTCGTCTCTGCCCGAATCTTGAAACATTGAGCGATGGGACTGGGTTTCAGCCCTATCCAGAGCCCACTCCTGTATCTCTCCCAAGACTCCGTTCACTCAGAGCCAGCTACCCTCTGTTACTAAACTATCTCATCTGTCCAGCGCTGGAACACCTAGAAGCTCCTCCACCATATGATATGTTCTTTGCTGTGTGGAGACTTTCACAATTCACCACTCATTCTGGGTGTCAAATACTCTCCATCAAAGTATGGCTGTTGCATACATTGGCGGATCCTGGACCTAGACAATTCTTCTCGTGCATGCTGCACCTCTGAAAGTTGAATATGGAAGGTTACGACAGGAATACTGATATAGTGCTCTTAAATGTCCTAACCTCGGACAACACAAACTTGACACTCCCAGATTTGAATGTCCTTGAGCTGAAGACCAAGGAGCTTTTCACAGGGGAAGCATTGTCGGAAGAGCTGGATGAAGCGTTGGTTAGGACTATCGATAGTCGCTGGAACATCTCCCGAGGATCGCCGGTTGCCCCGTTGCGACAAGTCCATATCAAGTGCAGCAAGGCTGGTATTAGAGGGGATACTGACACACAGAAATGAGGAGACCAGACTGCTTGAAACCTCAGAATGTTGTCTCATATCAACCATCTGAAATCGTTCAAGACAGAAGGATTGGATATATCTATCATCTTTGAACAAGGTGGTTCCTCGTCTCACCGCCTGGCCTTCACTTACGTCCATTATAGAGAATGAAAGTGGATGCCTCGAAGAGCGTTTTCTGGTATAATAAAAAATGTGTTCCATCAGCAGGTGCTGGATGTACTCCAATGATTTACTAAAAAATATGTGGACTTGACGAAGAAACTGATTTGTCAAATATGTAACATACTGTTTTCCGAAATGTGATTTATTCTTCCAAGCCTCTATGAGTCGCATATGGTCAGCTTGCACTGATGTTTTTCATTACTTGCTATCTGAGGTATTTCTTCACATCGGCCCAATTTCTGGATATCAACGCCTCTCCGAGGAGCTTTCTTAGAGCTAGTTATGATACATGATCCAGGGAAGATAATATACACCATATACTGCAGTCTGTGTGTTTACATGGAGCTGGAAAATCAAATGGTGTCATCTGGTACTTAAAGAAGCCAAAGTGCTATTGCAGTTATGGTCCTATGGATGGAGGAAAATAGTCAGGTAAGACCCAGACCTGCAGATTTTGGTAGCTACTCACACAGTCGAGAAGAACATGAAAATGTCTGTTCGTCAATGATTTGAGTACAGCAATAGTTTCTCGATGATCGAAGTGACTCACACTGCAGCAGAAGGAACGCCTACAAATACTGGTGAGCTACACAAAGTAAACAACTCATAAGGCTCACAGATAGTGTGTTCAAGTCATGATCTTTTGCATACAACTGGGTGACAATAATTTGACTGTTCATAAATGATAATCAGCATTGTCGTCGAGTCCAGATGGCATAAATGGAATGGACACAAACTTCACAGCTGTTGGTGTCCTGCTCAAAAGCATGGCCACAAAACACTGTATTGTGCAAAAAAGATGAATCAGAATCTCAGATATGGTAGCAATAAGAGAAAAACAGTCCAACCTCGACCAGAGCATCTTTGGATATAACATCACAGCATGTCAACCCCTGGGTGAATACGACACCAATGACTGGGAGCAAAACCAGTTTGCAGAATGTCACCCAGAACATTGCAGGTAATGGCATATTACTGAACAGACGCGGTATCTTTAGATGTGCAAACAAGACACCTAACAGAATGAGAGCTATAGGGATGGTCATGTTTCCAACAAACTGGGCTACAAGTTGTTAGCATAGGATGGAGAGAACCATAGATACTATCTGCATACCAGTATCGATGATGAACGTCAACAGTGGACTTCCGTCTGGGCCATGATAGTATGGACCACCGTCAACTTCCATGAAAAGTGCTTTGAGTCGCGGGATGAGGGAGATTGGAATGGATATATACATGCTCATCGTGACCGGTGTAAATAAACTTGATATGGGATTAAAGGCCCTCTGTATGATAGATGGAAAGAGAGATGCGATGCATCCTAGCTGCTCCTCCTGCTTGAATTCTGGTTCTTCTTGCGTAGAAGTACTTTTGATCACAGTATCAAAAAACTCTTCCAAGGAAACCTGTGTGTTCAGCTCCCAGAGTGATGAGCATGCGTGCATATGACCACTACCATCTGAAGAGAGTCGTCTTGGCCATGAAGAGTTTTCAGAAGACCTCGAAGCTCCATGTCTGACCTGTATATCAGAATCTATCTCCAAAAAGTCGCCATCAGTCTTTTCTCCCGAAATGACATGAGGTCCTTTATCTGTTACCCTTGGATCATCTACATTGTCAGCCTTCTCACAATCAAGAGATTCTGATCAAGCAAAGAGCCTCGACAAGCAAAATGCAGCAATGGGTTTTTCATGCCAGCCAACATGGACATTGGCTGCATGGCCTCGGGGTACACCCAGAGCATAATCCCATGCTAAAGTGCTGGCTGCGCCACCAACCCACATAACAAGACTGTATGCAAGAATGAATATGGAGACATACGATATGCCAACTAGATACAAGACGTCAGAGGTGCTGATAGTCAACGAAATGGTCAACACTTATGCTGCATATCGGTGTTAGGACTGAAAGGCGAATTGTTACGGATTATTCTTTTCTTTTCTTTTCTTTTCCTTTCTTTACGTATTCATGCTTACTCTTTCATGCGATTCCGATCGGACGCTCTCACAGTACTATTTTTAGTGTACCAAACGTGTATTTAAGTAGGGCCTCAGCTGGTCTAAACCCCAGCTTCGGCTAAGGTTTAATCTACCTAACTCAAAGCTCCGTTCTTCGTGAACTATCTAAGTTCGCTCCTGACTCCGTTTCATCATCTTTGACCTCTGAGAGTATCGTCCACCGAAGTGCGAGTGGCGATCCTTAGTTGATCTAAGTCGATAAGAGTTAGTGGCTAACATTTAGCCGAAGCTCGACAAACCTTTGCTCAGCGTCACTTCCGAGAAAGAGCGCTGCCCAAACCTTTTCAAGAAGTACTCCAAAATTCAGCCGATACACTTCCTCGTCGCAGTAGCTCTCTGGGTTTTCCCCTTGGACCTACTGCTACAGGCCGCTGTCATCGCCTGGGTTTTACCCCACATCATACACGACCCTATTTTTGCAGTTTTAATAACTGTCCTTCTTACCTTGGCTCTCATTCGAGTTTGTATCGCCGCACCGATCCTAGCAGGACTGCTAATCGTGCTCTACGGCGCATACGTCCCCCTCGTCTGAAGCATCACGAACCCTTTCAAACTATCTTTAAAGTTAGCTTCACTGTTAGCAGTCATACTGCTGACATTGACTGACCCATCCTTTGACGACGATACTTCGTTGATGACCAGCCCCGTTTATGAGACTGACCTCAACTTAATTATCGCGACCCTCGCAGCCCTCACTATCATCGCCTTATCCATCGTATGGTCCATCCTTACTGCCGGCTCTCTCAGAAAATAAGCCCCCGGACGGATGCCCTTATCCGACGCCATTCCCGTAATCTCCACGCTTTTTATAACCTTTTTCTTGTTCACCTCCTTGTACTACGCCCAGCGGTGCTGCCGCCAACAAAGGCGCGTACGAGCACAGCTTCCCTTTCATTACGTTCCGGCAACCCCGGCATACCCACCACCGATAATCTTTATTCCCGCGGCATCACAACAAACCCTTCACGATGGCCGACCCATCACACCCAGGGGACCTGGAGAGTCCCTCTACACATCGTCGCGATCCAGCTCGCGATCCTCAGGGTCGAGCACCGACTCCTACAGAAGCGCCACCGAGTCCGACGCTTCCGTTGACATCACCGATACCAGGGGGGTACTCCTCGACAGAGGAGACACGCCCTTACCAGGTCTCTTCGACCAGTCTCCAGTCCAAGGCGAGTCAAGCGCCGATGGAGCCCGAAGACAAAACACCAGGCATCTGGTCGAGAGCAAAGAAGGCTCTGACACCGAGTTCGAAGGCGACGAGCTCACCGAGCTCGAAAGAATCCGACTCAAAGACCTCCTCGGTGACCTCTATCCGAACGAGGAAGAGGATGCAGCCTATACTGGAGACAACTGGAGCGGAAGGTCTCAAAACAGGTACTCGGACCCCGAGTGGGGAAGCGCTCGAGACAGGAGAACTGCCCAGTGGGAGGATGCCCACGACGCGAGACTTATCGCGGATGACCTCAGAGATAGAACAAGGCTCGCAACGTCCAGGGGACGACGAGATGATTTTGAGGAGGATTCCGGAGAGCTTGGCCTCGGAGCCTCCGCGGCTACCACCCGTTCAACTGACCCACACTCTGTTCCAGAATCCTGGCCAGCCAATAGGGGAGAGCCAGTCGCCTGGTACCCCCACACCAGTTGGGTCTATGCCGACAACAGGGAAGAGGTTGCTGTGGCCAGAGACTCACCAGAGCCAAAGCCCGAGTCAGAGTCCGACCAAGCCCCTACAAGGACCGCGACCCCAGCGCTCCCTCCCTCCGTCCCCATGCACGAGCCGACGGATCGGGAGCTTTGGAGCGAGTACGGCGAGTACGACTCCGAGGAACTTGGAACAATTACCGTTTCCGAGCGCCTCGCCGGAGTCTCCAACTGGGAGCCGTCAGTCTCAGCGCGAGCCTTCGCTGACCCACTCCCTCTCTCTCAGCGTCTGTGGCCGCTCCTCTATCACACGTACGTCGAGTCCCTCGGACTCCCTAGAGCTGCCCGGGAATCCCCAGAAGTCCAGGCCAGAATGGACAGAGGCCGAGCGCATGACGCACGGATCCGGAGAGCAGAGGAAGACGCTCTCCAGGGACCCGGAGGGTGGTGGGACCTCCCTCTCGAGCCCGACGCCACCGACACCGAGGTTGAAAACCGAATCCGCGCCGCCGCAGTCCGATACACCGGGGCCGCTCGACGAGCAGGAACTGACCTGGAGGCACAAACAAGAGCCTGGAACTCCTACCAGGAGGAGATCAGTAACGAAGATTCAGACATCGGAAGGTGGAGAAGAAACAAGGAGCTCGACCGTCTCGCCCGAGAGAGGAAGGCGGCCGAGGATGCCAAGTCGACCCCCAAACCAGGCCCTCGAACCGACCGTAATGGCGGCGGTAAGACAGGTCCTCATTAGCGGACCGACTCCTAGGCCCGCCATCTTCGAACTCCTACCTTGGCACGGCCTGTATGAAATCATGATGGAAGATATGGAGAAAGACCCGCAGTGGCTCTTCTCAGAGGCAGGAGAAGACTACCGCCATGCCAAGCGTATGGGAGACGTCTACCTCACCAAGAACATCCTGGAGGTAGAGACCTGGCACCGAGCGGCCATGGTTTGGAACCTCATGAACCCCGAAGTGCCTCAGCCCGACTGTGAGCCATACAGGCGCCCTCAGCCGATGCCCCCTCCTCACGATCCGACGGACTTCTTCCCCGAAGGATTCTTCGGAGGAGCGGGGGGAGATGGGGACGACTACGCGGACATGGGTGCGGGGCCCTCCAACCCCGACAAGGGCAAGCAGTCCACGGTTCCACCAATACCGCCAAAACCGCCGTGATATCCGGACCCTGCAGGGTACCCGCCCCCAGGAGAAAATCGGAATCTGCGATCGCTTTCGCGACCGCCCAAGCCGCCAGCACCACCTCACGTTCCCTCGCCTCCGGACCCGATTCCCCCATGGCAGCTGGCTCCCGGGGCGGTGAATAACCCCTGGAATGACGTCAAGCCCAAGCTGGTAACCCAGCCCGAGTACTTTACCGGGGTTTCATCGGACATCACTCGGTTCCTGCATCACTGCGAAGTATACTTCGCGGTGTTCCCCATGTACTACACGATGAACGACCAGGGGCATAACCCCTATCGAATCACGTTCACACAAGGGTACTTACGGGGGGACGCGCAGCAGTGGTGGGTCGATCAATACTACCGATACCGGGACCCACAGGGGCATTGGAGGTTCCCTACCTGGGCCGAATTCTCGCACGACCTCACGCAGGAATTCCACGAAGTAGCAGAGCTCACGATATGGAAGGCGGAGTGGAAAAAGATTCGCCAGTCGGACTTCAAATCCGCAGTAGAATTCTTCGCGAAGTTCGAGCGACTGGCCCACAAGTGCGAGGAGTTCGGAGACGAGAAGCAGATGTTCGAAGCGGTCGAAGCCGCTATACGACCAACGGTGCGAAACACGGTTATGCATGGGGACAATGAGCGCCCCACAACCTATGCAGAATGGAAGGCGCGCGTCTTGAGGATAGACGCCAATTATCGATACGGAGTTGCCCAAGGACTGGGCAGTAAGTCCTCCTCGAACCAGGGAGGTTCGGGTCGAGGCAACCAATCATCGCAGAAGGGTGGAGGCCAGGGGTCTGGTGGCGATAAGAAGGACGCCACGGGGACCACCTATGGGGGTGCCGGGCAGCCGATGGAGATCGACAAGTTGCGAAGCGACAAGCGATGCTTCAAGTGTGGAAATACCGGGTGGAGCCGGGACCACAAATGTCCGATGGACAAATTGAAGTGGCTTCCCGTCAAACTCCCACCTCGCAAAAAGATACCCACGCAACGACTCCGCCAATTACTCGCTGAAGCAGAGAAAGAAGAAAACGGGAAGGAGACGAAGATCGAGGAGGTCAAGGATGATAAGTCGTCAAAAGACCAGCCGGCGTCGAAATAAGCGATTCGACAGCGTCGGCAAAGGACTTAGTTTCGAATGGTGCGCGCTCATGTAATTCTAGTCGGACTTATACTACGTATGTAGGTACCCCGTATGAACAATATACCAACTTTTTCGCTGCGTTACCTATCGAAGAAACTAAGGAAACCGAATCGCAAACCACCAACGGCGTAGGAGGGGATTTCCGCCACTCCGCGCAGCCTGCGCCCAGTACTGAACCCCTAGGGGTCGTCCGAGCTCAGGAACCCCCGGCTCACCGCACAGGGAAAGCCCCTCGAGGGCAGAGCC